AACCTGAGCTGCAGATATTCTCACTTGTGAATGGAACTTTCGGACGCCATGCGCTGAACTGTGTGAGGAAATGGGAAAGCTACTCCAACCGCTGTGGTGCTGTGTGCGAACAATTGTTCTTTCCTCATCAGTGTTAACGCAATAATACTTTCCCAAAAAAAGCATTAAATGCAACCCCAGTTTCATCAAGCCGGGGGCGCGAATGATTGTCAACTATTATTGCAAGAGAATGCACCGTGAACTTATCAACGACGCTCACCGCAGAAACCAAGTCTACGAAAACGAATGCAATCATTTCAAAACCGAAGCATCACGATTACTCAATTGTGATTGGATGAAACGAGTGGAGAAAGTTATCCAAACAACGTCAAATATTCGCCGATCAAAGCTAGGGAAAGACTCAATAAGAAATTTCTGTCACTGAATCCGAGAAAACATGAAGAAGCCAAATTAATCTGCAATCTCTCAACGTATCAACTTGCACCAAGGGAAACATCAGTTTTGCTGAAAGGACTGAAATTCAACTGCGCAAACGCAAGGTCAACCGATTTCATCGCCTAAGTTGAGGCCGGAATTCGAAAGTGTCCACTGACTGAAGAAAAACGACAACAGCTCAGGACGAAAGTCTTTCAGTAACTCACACGTCCGAGAGACATATATCACCTACCACCAGCTGAGATCAAAGCACTAAAAGCACCACGCAAAAATCAAGAAATCGCCATTCTACCCACGGAAAAGGGCAATGCGACTGCGATACTGGACAAAGCGGAGTACAAAGAAAAACTGGATAGACTCATCGGTGATTCGGAGATGTATCAACCAGTCATAGGAAATTCTATAACAAATCTACCTAACAGGTTAACTAAAAAGCTGACAGAACTAAAGAAAAACAACAAACTCAGTGAAAAGTAATTCAAAGATATCAAACCTACGGAGGGTCCAATCCCGCGGATCTACGGACAACCAAAGGTGCATAAAACCGGAGTACCACTAAGTCCAATCGTTTCTTCAACAACGGCTCCCAACTACCAGCTGGCTAAATATCTCCTTCATTTATTACGCCCATCCATTCTAGAAGACAACGACATAAAAAACTCCGTCACATTCCTAGATCGAATAAGAGTATTACAACTGAAACCGAAAGAAAAAATGGTGTCCTTCGATGTCACATCTCTGTTTACAAACATATCGACACAATTAGCTCTGGAGAGCATACGGAATCTGATAACAGATGATCCTCGTCTTCCAGAAAGAACACCACTATCAGTGACTGACATCATGGAACTCTGCATGGAAACATACCCACAATTTGACGGGAGGATAGATCGACAGGTGAAAGGAACACCAATATTCGGCCTAATAGCTGATGCGGTGATGAAACAATTCGAAACCAAGGCATTTGCAGAATACCACCCTCGCTTCTGGGTTCGATATGTGGCCGACACCTTTGTGGTGCTAACGTCAGAAAGAATCGAACAGTTTCATGATACCCTAAACAATGTTATGCCAGGGATAACGTTTACACGCGAGGAGCAAAGCGACATGAAGCTCCCTTTCTTGGACGTCCTTGTCGTAAGAAAACCAGACGGAAATACAGAAACCACTGTGTACAGAAAACCCACAACGACAGACCAGGTGCTAAAGTACGACAGCAATCACCCCATGTGTCACCTTAGAAGCTGTGCATACACTTTATTCCGCCGTGCAGACACATTGCAACACAAAGGAAATTCGGAATCAAGAACGAATGCATTTGTTCTACCGATTCCACACAAATGGATACCCCAAAAGTTTCGTCCAATCATGCCTTAGAGAAAGAAAACCGAAGGATGAAGAGAAGAAAACGAAACTATTATTACCATACATACGTGGAGTATCAGAAGCCCTTGATCGCATCCTTCGCCCTCTGGGCGTCACCATTGCCCACAAACCTACAACAACGCTGCAGTCAATCTTGTTCAACGGCAAAGACTATGTAAAACCACACGACCAATCAGGGGTGGTGTACGCGATTCCGTACCTAGACTGCGACCAACGGTACGTGGGAGAGACAGGTAAACAACTGTGCATTCGCCTACACGAATACACACTTGCACTACGACGCGCCGACCCGAA